ATGTGGGAGAACGGGGGGGCAGTCGGCAAGGAGGCGGACGGCGACAGCGAGGGTGTTGGGGGGCGCTGGCACCGAATCAGTTTTGCAGCCAGCGGAGGCGTCGCTTCCAGGGAAGCCGGCCATGTTGTTGACGATCTCGGTGGAGATGTCAAATTCGAGTCTCAAGCCATCCTCGCGACGCTCCGAGTGCTCACCGGCCGAGAGGCCGATTAACGACAGCAGCATGGCGGCGTGCACCCTCGATTCCATTGTTGGCCACAGCCGCGCCCGCCTAACTCAGATGGATGGAATTAGGCGGGCGCGTTTTCTTTTTACCTGCCTCCGGCGGTGCCCTTTCTTTGAAGACAAGTGCGACGGTCCACAGCGTCCGGCACTACTCGTTCTTCACACGGCCATCGCATGCGGGTCTTCAGCAGACCGACCGGCTACCGAAAGGGGCTCCAAGCCCTGTCTGTCTCGCGCACGCCCCTGGCGGGCGCCGCGGACCTGTTCCGCGAGCGCTCGTCGGCGGGTGGTGTGCGGTTCTTGCCGTAGTTCCTCTTCGGTCGCCTAGCCCCGGCGCCGTCTGGCGGACGGCCATCCCGCTTGCGGGATGGCTTAGCGGGTTCGAGCTGTCACACATTGGCTGCCGGGGTGTGCCGAGGGCGGGCTGGGTGGGCAGTAAGCCGTCATTGCCCGGCGCTGCATGCAGCGCTCTGAGTGGCAGTGGCGGCGCTCCAAGAGTGGAGCTCTTGGGAAGAGGTTCCTCCTTTCCGCTCCCCCACCGCAAGGCGCGAGACACACACATGCCGGGAACTACCGCGGAAGCCTTCCCCCCCCACACACACTCCAACAACAAACGGGCAGCCCGGCCAGCCCTTCGACCACAAGACCGGCCACGGCTACGTCAAGGCGCATCGCGGTTTTACCACGACGCGATCTTTGTCAAGCGCAACAACTTTCAACCTGCTGCTCCACGAGACGTTCGGCGGCGGCATTCTCGCCCACCGCCGTTCTCGAGCTGCGCCGCCTCGCGCGCAAAGCCGCGCGCGGCAGCGTCGACCGCACGGCCTACTCGCCCAAGTATCGCTCTCTTTTATGTCCCACCATGCAACCCGTGACGAAAAACGAACACACACCAAGCGCTAAGCGTGAGGACACGAGCTCGAATTCGTAGGAGCATCTGAGCAAAAATTGAGCCGCTCAGGTCACAGGTGTGAACAAAAAGTATAAGCAATAAGGGTCGACCAGGTTTCGAACTGGGGGGACCTCCCGCCAGCGGGACAAGGCTTCCAGCAAGATACGCTGGGATTGAAAGGAGGTCTCTGTTCGGGAAACCTATATAGCATACCGGAGGAATTAGACACCACAGAACGCACACACCGACGCCCGAAGTGCCAAGAAGGACGTCATTAGTACGAAACCTCAGAAGGCCATGGGCGCCGAGAGAACATTCCCCCGAGAGGACAAAAGAAAAAGGCTTCGCACCCCCTCCTTGCGCAGTGACCCTCGCTAAGTGTCGCCGTTATCGGGGCACGCTATCCTGCGCAGGCTGGCAGGGCAAGCGGGGGCGGGACGCAGTCCCTCTGGTCTGATACTGGCTGGTGTGGTTATTTATCTGTCTCCAGTCTCGGAGGGGGGCAAAAAGATAAGAATTAGATATACCTGACCGTCAGCGGCTTACAACTCGACCACGGCGAAGCGATTGATTGCGAGCGGTCCCCCGAGCCACAACTTTCGGCGAAGTGTCGATTTCGTTCACGACCTGCAACTCCCGGGTCCGGCAAAAAGTTTTATTTCGGGGGACCGCCACGGGTCGGTGGGGCCCTATAAGCCCTAGGAGCACCCCCGGGTTCGATTTCCGCAGAGTGTGCGAGGGATGAGGGTGCTTCCCACCATCTCGACGCTCATCCTGCTGCGGCACGGTCAGTCGATCTGGAACGGCGAGAACCCGCGGTTCACGGGCTGGTGTGACGTGCCGCTCACGGCCAAGGGACGCGTCGAGGCGGTCGGCGCCGGGCAGCTGCGCTCGCGAGGCTTCCGAGCGGCGAACGTCTACGTTGCGTTCACCTCTGAACTGCAGCGCGCGCACGAGACCTGCGAGCTCGCGCTAGCTTCGATGGCGGGGCACCGGCAGGACACGTGGTCGCCCGAGCGCATCCGGCGTGATGCGCGTCTCAACGAGCGCCACTACGGCGCCGTGCAGGGCTATCGGAAGGATGACGCCGGGCTGCTCGCCGCACACGGCGAGGAGTCGATCCGCGGCTGGCGGCGCAGCATGCACGGCAAGCCGCCGCCACTCGACGCCGACCACCCTGAGTGGCGGCCGCCGCCCGCGCCGACTGGAGAGAGCCTCGCAGACTGCCAGCGCCGCGTGCTCGAGTGCTTCCGCGAGAGCATCTCGCCCACGCTCTTCGAGGAGGCGTGAGATCGCCCGAGATCGCCACAGACCGCCCGAGACCGCCTGAGATCTCACCCGAAGACGCGCGCTTTGACACACGAACAGTCGATGACAATTGGCTGACTGCGTATTGACAGCGAACAAGTCAAGAGTAGTTCGGCGAAGTGGAAGAGCTGCGCTTTATCAATGTCAGAAGTCAGCACTGGGGCCCAGCAAGGCGAATGTGGCAGATCACAGGCAAGCGGCACTCGTTCTGATGGGTCTGGACCAGGTGCCGGACGACAACGTGCCGAACTTGCATGTGCCAAACTCGGTGCCCACTCTGGACGGCGATGCGCGCGCGAGAATCGACACGGGCCTTGGTGAGCTGGCTCGTGGTTGGTGGCGTATACGTGCTTGTACCGCTTCGAGCGGAGCACGCGTCTACTGCTGAAGGTACAAGCTGAAGGTGCAACATGGATGCCTCGACTGCGTATAGGTGCCCATCCTGTACCGCTTCTAGCGGAGCACGCGCTCGCTCCTCTCGACGCGGCTGCAGAGCGCCGGCGGAGGGCTTCCCACGCCTGAGATGCTGAGACACCAGACCCCGTGCACACTACGGCACCCCGACAGCACTCGACCGCCTTGCCGGTCTTGCGGGAGAGATTGAAGGGAGAGTCTCGGAGAGTGGCGGAGTTTGGAGCGTGTCTCGGAAGGGTTTGGCCAGAGACCCGCCGCCCCGCTGAGACGACGCGCACCGGACTGCGCCCCCATCAACGCACAGCCCCACCAACGCACCGACCCGGGCCCAAGGTCACTCGCGGACTGTCGAGAACGGACAGACGGCGGCGGCAGTCGGGACGCAACGCTGGGCGTCACACTCCCACCACATGGTGCGGGGGAGGGTGCGGTGGAGGCGAAGAGTCCAAACTAGCTCTCGAGAGGAGGACACGGACTCGCCGAGTGTTCGTTTGTGCTGGTGGCGTGACGGCCGCCCCAACCCGTCATCGACACAACCGCCCCTCCCCACCGAGATGTACTCGCCTTGTTGGAGAGTCTTGTTGGAGAGGGAGTACGAGAGCCTCTGATGGTCAGGTCGCACGCCCGCTGGCTCCTGTCTCCCGAGAACCACCAGGCGGTGCGCAGCGCGGTGCAGCCAGGCGGCATGCCGACACCACCCGACACCTCCCGACACCTCTCGAGACACACCCGACACCACCCGAGGCACACCCGAGACCTCCCGACACCTCCCGACACCACTCGAGACACACCCGAGACCACCCGACACTCCCGACACCACTCGAGACACACCCGAGACCACCCGACACCTCCCGACACCACTCGAGACACACCCGAGACCACCCGACACCTCCCGACACCACTCGAGACACACCCGAGACCACCCGAGACACACCCGAGACCACCCGAGACACACCCGAGACCACCCGAGACACACCCGACACCTCCCGACACCTCCCGACACCACTCGAGACACACCCGAGACCACCCGACACCTCCCGACACCACTCGAGACACACCCGAGATCCACCCGAACTCCTTCCAGAACCGCCTTGAAGAGACAGGCTAATACCACCTTCAGACACAACCGAATAACTCCCCGGAAACAATCCCCTAGTACCATCCC